TGAAGCTAGCGCACACGCTATTTGTTGTTTGTTTATATCACGTAGTCTGTTGTTCTTCTTCTCTGTCTTCCGGTTGTTGCCTGTTTTGAATGACAAATACACACAACCGCCGCCTGCTGGTAAAGAGAGTTATTGACACTCACGCATGCGCAGTTCGTACGTGCTCGGCGAGTAAAGTAACGAGTAAAGTAACGAGTTACTTTATGTAGAGAGTAACGAACTAGTGTAATATATTACTTTTTTTTAAAGTAATATGTAATATGTAATATATTACATTTTTTTAGTAACGACCCCATCTCTGGTCTTAAACAGGTAATTCTGAAATTATAAGCAGTTTTTCATTTAACTCCTTCCTCCTAGCCATCCATAAATCACAGATGAAATTTTGAAATGTTTATATAAAAATATTGTTAAGACAACATTTAGGATGTTTACACTCATGTATATAATATTCCCATTTGGAAATTGTATCTCATTACAAGCACACACACATAAGGTAATTAGGGATACTTCTGCAGATATTCAGTCTTTTTCTGATTGTGAATCAAACTTTCTGTGTATCCAAAGCCTTTTGAATTATATTGCTGTGTATCACATTACAATGCAAATGGAAAATGTAGATTTTAGTTTGGCGCACATACATACAACCGTGGTTCTGTAAATAAATACTCACTAAAGCACCAAATACATAATTGAGCTGTTTAAGTAAATCGAAATGACTGTTCGGAAATGATTGAGCCTTGAAAAAAACAACTACTTCATATTTGTGACAAAATGTACGTATTCAGGATCACAAAAAACAGCAAAGCTTAAACGTATCGATGAAAAGACTATTGTTCCTTTTGGCCCTTTTATGGGATTTTTGCATCCTTATTTCCAAATCAAAAGATTACCAACAAAAAATCCAAACTTATAGACACATTCAGCTTCTAACTGTTACAGGAACTCAAAGGCTAACATGTTTTTCATAAGCTGCAGAGGTTGTAGTGCCACCTACAGAAACGTCAACCTCTGAAAATGCCACACATTTAAATTTAAAGTGGTTTCAGACTTGTCCTTCTCCATCCTTGGTTCAGGGCTGATACAGTATTCGACTGAGACTTCTCTTTCACAGAGGTCACGCCCTTCCTGCTGCAGCCCACATCTCACATTAAAGCAGCGTCCAGTGTTTAGAGAGTAGCAGTGTGTTGCATGTGAGAGTGTGTGGAGGGACTTCAGGGATAAATAATTCAGCAGCGGTGGTTTCCTCTCCGGCGGATGGAAGTAAAAGCAGAGCATCCTCGTCTTCCTCCCTCTCCGCTGACCTGCTGGGTGCCATCAGCAGCTCCCAGAGTGCAGTTGGTGCATTAATTATTCATCATTATAACTCTGCGAAAGGTATACGCAGGCCTCCAGCACTCTGCCTCTTTATCACTCTCTTTATGCTTTCCCTCCCTTTAGAGCCAATAACAGCTTTAAGTTCTCCAATGAAAGACATCCGTTTAAATGTACAGATTTTAGTCTTGTGTTGCATTGTCTATACTTAGACATGAGAAGCGAAAAAGGAGCAAAGCAAGATTGTGATATTTGTCTCTATTAGCTGGAAGCAAAAAACACAATATCATGCACCTCAAATGTCATTCATCAGATTTACTTTCATTTAAATCAGGAGAGACTTCATTTTGTTTAAAGAACATTTATTGACACATGTCACATGATAAATGTTAAGTCTTTGGGGATTAGACCCCAATCCTGAAATCATATATCTAAAGGAGGAAATGCAGCCGTGAGCATATAGGGAACCCCCCCGGAGTCTAGACACTGGTGATGATGCTGAAGATCTGGATTTGATGAGG